AAAGAGTAGGTCTGGGGTGGTGTCAACACTAGTTGTATGGTATAAAATCGCGCCTATCACGCGATAGTATTTTTTCAAAAAAGAAATAAATAGTATGAAAAAAAGAAATTGTATGAATCACATAAAGTTTAAAAATGATATATGCCACCAAAAACATAAAATATATTGACGGACTTCGAAAGAATATTCGGGCTTCAACCCCGCTTTGCAACTCGTACAGAAAATGTTTTTAGCTTAAAAATACAGTTTAATCGCCTCTTAACTTACCGGTAAACTGTTATTGACAATTGTGTCGTAAGAAGAAAGCTTTAGAATCGCCAATGAGCGAAATATTTCACTGAGTTTCTTGGACTGGAAAAATCGATGCGTCGTGTCGAATTCAATGCCATCATTATTTTCACGCAATGTTTTGGTTTGTAAACTTGATAGTTGACGTCCACTTTGGACAATAGGATAAGTTCTCATACGACAAATTGTCCTCTGGAAATAGACAATTCTAGCCATATTAAAATTGAAAGAAACCTTTTACGCTGAAATATTGAAACAGTTTGACCAAAACATATACAGTAGGGAAAACCGGTCTTTACTCCTGTGTAAAACCGGTTTCGCCTCAAGAGAGGGACGATATGCACGAAGCACATACATTGCTGTTCAAACACAATACAATAGAACATGATATTTATTTTCATAGAAACAATTCAGTTAATGCAAGTTGGTCATTTTCCAATTTTTTTTCCAAATGAGAAAACAGAACTATAAAATAGAAACATTCGCACGTAGTTGATAGATAGGTGATGCACACATAGCGAGTGGGTTTCCTGTCTTCTATCTAGTTTCAAAACGAGGCAAACCACAGGAGCCTAGGAACGAATCACAAACAATATGGCGGACATGACAACATATACACTTTCAAACTTCTCTTACTTTAATTGTCAATAYTCTTTGTTTATCCATCCTTATTTTCACCTTAAATCAACAAAATGATGTCTTGAAATATTCCTGAGAAATGGCAGCAGTAGATTTGATTTTGAAAACGCTAATGTGCTCAAAAGAGTTCTGTGAAGCAGACGATAAAAATTGGGATGCGGTAGCGAAGCTCATTCCGGGATCAACAGCTCAGCAGGTAATGCAAATAGTTGTTTGGAATTTTATATGTTTCTTGAGATTGATATTGGTTGCTTGTCATATCACAGTGCTGCAAGCGATGGAAAGAGCTTCAAGCTCATCTACCACTTCAGTACAAAATGTGTGGTTTTCCAAGCCAATCAAGTGGCATTCAGCAAGTTATTTCCAAGTTACTCAAATATGACTTGATAAATGACAGCAAATCAAAAACAAAGAAAAAGTGTAATAGTACAAAACAAGCTTACAACTCTATGACAAAGCAATCTGTTGAACAAGAAGACAACGATGGATCAGGTGTCAATGTCTTTGTTTTGTTTTGGATCTTTTGCATCTACTAGCGTCTTTTAGTTTATGATTTATAACATGCACAGTGCGTTCTATGACTAATCTTGATCAAATATTTTTCTACTTTCTTTTACTATCTGAAATGCTTTATTGGGGAACCTCAAATTGAAAAGAAAAGCATAGGTAAGTTAAACACTGCTGTTTTGAGATATAGCTGTAAATTGTAATGTCATAAGATGCTATAATTGATCTAGATGCAAATATAAGAGTTGCTAAGTATAAAGATTCAATGATAATTTTGGCAGTAGTGTGTGATTGTGCATTTATTTAAATACTAGGTGATTGGCCAGTTGATCACGTTTGATCTTAGCCAATCGGCGTGCGGTCTCAGACTGAAGGAAAATCCCCTTCCCCCTTCCCACAAAGCATCACAAGCTGAGATTATTTTGCTTCTTACAGAATTCATTTGAAATACTGGCACATATCTTAAGTTAAATAATTGAATTTTGTCCTTCGCGCAGTAGACAATCGGATTCTCCTTCTAGACCATGATGATGATGTGCGTGCTGAGTGATGGCATGGTGCCTTCATTGAATCCACCAGTCATTCCTTGC